TATTATATAATAACAAAAAAGGTCACCTTTTTCAATAAAGCATTCTCGTCCAGTAACATGACCGAATCATGAGAATATATTTTTTCATTTCTGAACTATGTAAATGACATTTTGATGTGTAGCAAGAAAAGAAAAACAGTCTTTCAAATGCATATGGAGTCGTGTAGCAACTATAGTGTTGCATATTAGCTAATATTATATTCAACTACATTGTAATTCTAGACAGTATTCACAACATCAATTTTTTAACATGTATATTGTGATGTTGACGTCTTCTTTGTCTTTGGTTGTTTTTATCAAACTTAATGTCAGCCGGTACTGAATTCCCAAGAGCTTTCAACTGTATTCTTTCATTGTTTAAATGTTCATTTTAAGTACGGTTTGTGCATTATCACCAATTAAAGATAAATAATCTATTAGTACCCAATTACATATACATGTATGTTTATGATAGAGATGTAAATTAATTTGCATCTTCAGGCTGTGTAATTTTTGAAGTGGCCTTATAATATTTACCTTTTCAATAGAAATGTATTTTATGTATATACATTGTTGCCAATCAAGTTAAATCTGTTTTCATGAAATGATTGTGACAGTATATGTTTTATTCTTGACAGATAAAGTTTGTATCAGCTCAGAACGTTATTGAAAAGTTCTGAGAAGACATAAACTTATATAACTAATATAGTAATCTATTAAGAATGCTTCATATTCTCACAATCACTTCATGAAACGAGGTCATTCAACACAATTATGATCATAGGTATTATGATGAAGGCACCAACAACGTTCTCAGTAAAAGTGTTGTTGTACATAAATCTATCCCAAACTGCTTGAAAAGTACATTGGGAATGTTTCACGCGAAATGATCGTTTAGTGTGTTGATAGGAAAACGTACATATACCTCATTTGTATCTTTGGATTGACACTTAGGATAGGGGGGTTTGAGACAGTGATGTATTACCTACAAGAACAAGTTTAAGAGAGCTATTTTTGCACCAGGCAGGCCTATTTCTAATAATTGGTCAATAATAGTCCTAAAGATATTAAATCATACACAAAATTTGTGCAAATTTCAAAGGTGTCATTGAGATAACTGATAGTGTGGGAGAAGTGGGGCGGGAGAGGGTGGGTGAGGCGAGAGGTGCTCAGCTGCATATTAAGCACATTAGGCACATAAATGTTAAAGAAACATTGCATCCATATCGATGGTATATATTAATTTTTAAATGTACAAAAATAATATTTCTATATCTTGTCAGTTATGTATGTTTTGGTTAGTTTTTGTTACGTGCGCTTTGTTGAATTCAGTAATTTGGGGTGATGTTAGTACGGTACATATTCGTTAGTGTATTATTTTGTTAACTCCGGTGTATATGAGTGTTGGGACTACATTGTATGCATATGCTTCTTTCATACATCATCTTTTTGTAAGTACATATATTTATATATCATAAATACAAATTAATGGGATAGCTACATGTAGCTCCAGTATGGCTAGCTTCATCAAATAATCTCGATGGCTTTTAATAATCATCAATAGTCATGGAAATATTTCATTAAAAAAGAAAAATTATATCTTTACAAAAATACGTTACATGAAAGCATAGTTGTTGATTTTGAAAAAAAATGTGTTTTTCATTTCATTGTATATTATGACAAGGATTATGTAAAAGTACAGAGAAAGTGAGAGAGAAAGGACATTGTAAGAGGTACATAGACCGCGGGGTAACGAACAGGTGCATGCTTTGGTGCGAAATCACTATGACGACAAAGAGGGGGCATAGTAGAGGTACGGAGAATATGAGAGATAAAGGATAAAAGAGTCGCAGTTGAATGATAAGGTATACATAATTTATGTGGGTTTGGAAAAGAGATATGACAGAAAGATAGGCTGGGGAGAGAGGTGGAGAGGGAGAGAGGTGGAGAGGGAGAGAGAGGAAAAGAGCTGGAAGGAGCTGAAGAAAAGGAGATGAAGAGAGAGAGAGAGAGAGAGAAGGAAAGAAAACAAAGAAAATAGGCATACGTGGCTAGGTAGAATGATCATTGATATTTGTCTTGTTTTATTCCTTTACTTCACATCCCCCTTTCCACTCTGTTATCCTTCCAAACTTTGTCTCTCTATCTTTCTCCCTCTCCTTTTTCTATCTGTCCGTCTCTCTCTCTCTCTCTCTCTCTCTCTCTCTCTCAACTCTACCCCTAACCCTTCCCTCTCTTTATTTTCCACTGGATCGGAATGCAGTACTTCGATTTGAAAAAAATTGAATGATAGAAGTAAAAATTAAAAAATAAAATCCTACATTCTGGGACTTCTTCAGTTCATCTACCGGTATATTTTTAAAACACAAAAAGCACCAAAATATTCTATTAACTGAAATAATCATGTCCACTAAATCACAAAACACAATGTAAATACAATTTTCTACAGATATAGAATGCCTTTATTAAAGCTTCAAATCACATTTTCATAACAGGTAACATACATGAATATCTAAATGGACGAGACAATTTGTAGGGAAGAATGTATGTCCTGTCGCAATTAACACATTAATATTGCAAATTCCCTTTCTCAGTTTATCTTGTACCTACTATAAACATACAGAAGGGATAAACTCACATGCAACTTTAGTACAACAATTATCTGTAGATATGTACGCCCTCTTTAAGAATAATACATCCGTTTATTTTGTCGAGTATATAATATGTTCACTAAAATATCAACCATGACTTGTGAAAAAAATGAAATTGTTGAAGATTAAATACAATTTTTTTTTTTAAATGATGGAAGATTCTACCCAGAGTAATATCATGCACCGTGAAACAAAATGATATCTTCAAATTTCAATACATGGAATAAAGGAATTTAAAAAAAATGAAGCAAAAGAATACCTTCCCGATTCCCAATGGGGCAGTGGTTTATTTCATCTGCTGGTAGTCACAAGGATGTTAACTTCTCTGCTTTAACACAGAGTTACCACTCTCCTGGCTCACAACAGACAGTTTCATCTAGATCATTTATTACAACATGAAATGGAAAACATACATGTAGTATTTTAAAGGAAAAAACATATCTTGAGTGATGAACATTTTTTCTGATGCATTTTTACTTACAATTTTTGCTTTCCCTCCCATATTCCTTTCCCTAATATGTAAAATTGAAATATTGAATATTCTAACCCTATAATTCACCTGTCCTTGATAAGGTAGGCCTTGCATAATATTCTTCAGTGTTCCCTTTATTTTGTTACAATGTTAAGTAAGTAATTGAGAGATTTCTCTGTGTGATGACACTCCTTTACAAACAAAAACCTAATACACAATGTTTAATACCTCTATGTAACAATCATCAACATGCCATGATATAAATATCTATTACATAATTTTCCAACAAAACTTTGAAATATAATCATACATTATAAACTCTTCAGATTTCCCTAACACCACTGCTGGCATTCACAACAGTTATCACAATAATAAAAGAATTTCATACCAAATATCTAAGGTAACTCAAATATATCTTGCTTTGAGTACTGAGTTATTTCACTTTTATATATACACTGATTTCTTTTGTTTGACAATACAACAATATTCTGTTTCTCAACTACACTTCTTTCTAGCTGCATCTCATCACAGATATGCCGAGGTTACTAAGGATCATACTCAACAAACATGCTCTATCTAGACACGAAGTTAGAAAAAGACAAATCTGTCAAAAGACATGTGGAATGGTTGGTTATTACACATGAAAATATGAAAGATGATCTCATCCTCATTTTGGCTTTAATAACTTGAAAACATAAAGCCTCCAATAGTGGTAGAGGCATAAAACTAATCACAAATTTGAGTAAAAATGAAATCTTTGATATCTCTTCAAAAGAATTTTTTTTATCTTAAATTATTTTTAATTCACAACCACTCATTGAGAAATGTACCAGTGTTCATATGCGAAAATGGTGTATTTATACATGAAAATAAAACAGGTTGTCCTTAACTTGGCCTTCAAAAAACGAGAAATGTTTACTTAGAAGTGATTCTGCTAGTTTTGGTCACAATACAATAGAAAATTAGCAAATGCTTTGTCTCAATTACTGCTTAGTCAACATTATGCATATACATATACATCTACATTGGGGTTTCCTGACATGACAATAGTTGCATCAGTTGTTTTACAAACAGGCATAACTATGAGTCTTTATTGATAACACATTTCAAGTTCTTCAAACCTTTGAGGGTTTTTTCCTACAGGAAAGAAATGAAGAAAAAATTGAGCATGTTTTTTTCATCACGATATTAACAGGAACGTGATGGTAGAAAGTCAAAGATTATTTTGTCATAAAACATTTTGATGAGAGCATATATATCAATTAGTATGAGTTGGTTCACTCACTGTAGGACATACTTTGACATGGGGTTCCAACATTTAAAATATACTTGTACAGTCAAACCTGCCTATAGTGGTCACAGAGCTGCCAACCTTGTGCGACCCAAAAAAGGAATCATGAAGGACAAAAAAAAAGGAATTTCAAGCCAAAAAAAGGAATTCATAAAAATGAAACTTACAACCATGCGCGACACACTTCCAATGCAGAAATGTTCATTCATCATGCGGTTTTTTCCATACAAGCAGGTAATTTATTTGGTGGTTATTTTGGTATTATCGGCATTTCATTTTTTGAAAATATTTTTCTCTTTTTAAAATTTTAAAATTAGTTTTCTATTGAATTTGTGATCAAATCACCATTTTAGGGCTGTTGTTTGACATGCGGTATGTAAAAAAAAAAAAAAAAAAAAAAAAAAAAAAAAAAAAAAATTAAATTATTAAAAGACGTATTTTATGAAGAAAAAATGTAATACCGTAATTTGGAGGAAAAAACGTAGTAATTCCGGCAAGAATGGAATGGTTGGCAGCTCTGTGGTCACCTACAATGTCTCCCTCTGGTATAAAAAAACGTAGAACCTGTCTAGAAAGCCCTCAGTGGCTATTTTTCTATTTGTTTCCCTTTTGGTGGCAATTTAGTTAACAGATATGACTGTACCTGCTTTTAATGTATGCTGATAATAAATCTACAGTATATTTGTTGCAACACTTTAATGTTGATGAAATAGGGATGATCCAGTGCTTGCACCTTTTCAGATTGAAATAAAATTGTTGGTATGGTTGAACTGATGCATACTATGTTTGCCCTTTTGATGAGTCAATAAACCATCTCTATCCTAACACTCAGCTTTATGCTGTACTGTCAGTCTTGAAAGAATATTTGCTGGCCTGTATTGTAAGAGAGAGAGAGAGAAATAGAGAGATATATGTTCAGCTTAGAACTGACGACAAACTGCATGTAAATTATAAACATTTGTATTGACTCTAGCCCCACACTTTTTGCACAATATGAATTCTGAAAACGCTTGAAACAGAGAGGAGGCAGTGCCTGTGCCTGATAAAATCCTGAAGCTGGCGCTCCTTAGTATTCCTTAAAGGGATCCGGTAACTTTGTCTCAGATTCTGAAATAAAATTCTGGATTTAGCTCATGATGCAATGATAATTATAAACCCTTAGGTCAGTCAGGAACCCCATGACTTTTACAAGCCGATCGCCTGTCTGATTATCAAGATATTTATGATTGGAATTACAAATTTTGAAAACCGTTCGCCTGACGGTTTTCATAACACTACAGTCTATTGGGGAAAACGAGTATGGTATAACCGGTCACTCAAAGATTTTTACTTTTTTGAGGCACTTCTTGATCATTTTGAAGCGCGATTTTTTTAGGGCTTTAATGTTACACTATATCACAGACACTGATAACATGTAGGACTGTGTATCTCAGATTTAACATTGTTAAACGATCCCTTTAATGGATAATTTTGTAATTACTTGTAAGCCCAATTTTGCCATGACATCACCTATGCCCACACAAATTTCACTTGCCTTTAAATGCACTGAAATTTGTGAGCATGATCTTTGGTAATTTGTATTACCAGATAGGTACACTCATGTTGCCTTAAATACCAAACCTACTTCAGGTAACATGATATATATTTCTTAGGGTTGCAGCACCTAGTATTAAAATCAGATGCAACTCTCATGTAGGAATAAGAATTGAAGCAACTTACCTGTAAAATACCAACGATGACACCAAACAGACCAATAGCGCTTCCAAAGATCTCAACGATGAGGACCTTCACAAAGAGACTAGCATTCTGGGCATCAGCTAGGGCCGCTCCGCTACCCACAATGCCCACACAGATACCACAGGCTAGATTGGTGAAGCCTACAGTCAAACCAGCACCGAAGATGGCATAACCTGAAGAAGAGTTTTAAAAGAAGATATCATAGTCACCAATATGTCCCATACATACACTATGAACATGGTGGACAAAGAAAGTGGACAAAATATACAGTTCCTCATTCTATCCTCAACAAGTGACTTGATTCTGGGCACTTGGACACATATTGTTCTTCCCCTATCATCAAGGAATGATAGTTCATAGTATGAGCTCCTTGAATATAAACATGTAATTAAATGTAAATAGTGATACAGATAAGCCCCAAATTATTTTTCTGAATTATTATCTTTTAAATCACATCCAAATGTACATAACTTACAAAGTACACAGGACAAGCTGCTTCTAAAGCTACTTCACACAAAAACAAATTAAAGTTACTCTTGCACTTTCAGCAATAACCCTACGCTTAGACATAAGAAAAGCTTCAATCATCAGTTGCTGTCTTCAAAGTTTCATTGAAAATGCACTTGTTTTCAGGAGCTTTTGAAAAGTTTTTTTATTGCGTGTCTGTGAAGTAGCATTTATTTTTGTTTTCATCACAACACAGTCGAGTATATTAGTAGCTGCGCTATACATTTATCTATATCAATTAAAATGTAGCAAGGTTCTCGCCAGGAACTTGTTTATTCTAGGTCCAAACAGAGTGAAATATGTTCATCCACAGATTTGACACATAAGCCAGTAGACCAACTGCGCATTCTTACCTGCTAGATAATTAGCAGCCACCGTCTCTTCTTTAAGTGGATTGGTTCCAAAATCCTTGACTAGACCCGAGAGGACGATGGCCATGATGATTCCGTAGATGGCCACAGCTTCACAGAAAATAATGCTGCATTGAATGATGACACAGAAAAATGAAGTCAACACTGTATTCTAAATTTTAAGTGAAGGTTGAGTTATGGTTAATGTGACAAATAATTCATGGGCTTTCTCATTTGTACATGAAAGGAAGTCATAGTACAGTGTCACATGAATAGGGATGCTCTTCAAATAGTTAAATAGACTGTCATCATATTCCATATATAACTACAGTTAGTTGTCGTAGTTGGTCCCATAAATCAACATTTACATGCAAGGCTTTTTACTATATGTTAATTTTGATGAAGATGTTATCTTCTCTTCTTATCGAGTCACTACACAAGTCACGTCCAGTGGTCCACACAGGCTTTGGCACGACAATTCATGGCTACTCAAGTTCTTTGATGAAGATTGAATCAATTTATCATTGATATGATTTCGAAACCTAACAATACAAAATTAAGTCTTGATCTACAGTGTACATGTACCATTCCCAATAACTTCAATGCAGTTTGACATAAAAAACCTGCAATGAATTTACCCCTCTTTTGTGCAAAACAAAGCAAATGCATCAAAACACACTTTCTTTCATGCCAACACTGTACATGTAAGTAACGACTTGAATTAAACTAAGCAAGTGCGATCTTTCTGCTTAAAAATTTACATTTCTTTTGCTGACATTTGTATGTGTATATTGTCTCCTAAACAAGAAATACTCAGTATGAATCATATTTTCATGTCTCATGTTCATTTTTTAGGACTATTTAGTAATACAATTTCTCCATTATTTGTATACCCATTCCACTTGATTCATATGGCATCCGAGCCAACTAACTATACATGTATGTTAGAAACTGGTTACTAAAAATTCCAATTTATTGATAGAGTACATAAAGATCATGCCTTTATTAATATTATAAATTTCTTATACTATTAACAAATTTCAATCCAAACACTTGGTGGATTGATATTAATCAATGTTGTCATTGAATGAGCAATCGCTATACCTAGTCCTTCCTGTGTCGCATACCTATCACTTCCTGTTTCAAGTTGAGTTATAGGTAACGTCCTTCCCTTGCTATGGGCATCACATTTCAAATAAGCATGAGTGTAGATACTGTTCATGTGTATACATGTATATCGATTTCTTTTTAAATTGATACAAATCTCATTCAAAGTTATTCAAATTCATCAATCGACTATCCCTCACATTGATGAGTTTTGTTCATTATATATAATTGCATGGTCCTCTCACAAGTCTAATAAAGCCACTAACATGGTTGCCCTGGGCAGCCCGTACGTGTCAACGGTAGCACCCTATCTCAACTTGCATATGTATCAATTTATAAACAAACATGTGCTACGCTAAGAACAAGAAAATTCAATAATTTAGTGATTGCATGAAATACAACACTAGATAGTGAGTGATACATGAGTAAATTCTTTTGTTGTTGCAAGGTTCAATATTCCGACTTACCTGATAAGATTTTTTGTTCTGATACGTGGAGCTTTTACACCTCCTCCAACTATACTTGTTCCTGTTGTGAAAATACCCCTGCATAAGGAAAAAGAGTGTAAAACTTTCATTCCAACTTTATTAATAATAATAATAATAATCTTTTAAAGTCCACTCCAAATTTTATTAAGTTAAACCGAAAATGGAAATTCTTTTTGCCCAATTGATCATGAGCCCAACAGCAACTGAGCAGCGCCAGATCGATGTTGCTCTATCCCTTTATTGTTGAACGCCAAACAAGGTAGCAGCAACTCCCGTCTTTTAATGTCCTTTGGTATGACACGGCCGGGGTTCGAACCCACGACCTCCCGGTTGTGAGGCGGACGCTCTACTGACATAGCCAACACACCGGTAATCAATCTTAAATCAAAATATATGCCTCATACAATATTGCTTGTTCATATTTAGCCACTGTCATATGGCATTATATCCATCGTAAAAAGAATCTGTGCAATTGATTGGTATGTAGATTGCACATCATGTGATGAAATAAACTTCACCCAATTACCATCAGGGGTAACATTTGATGTGACGATCAGTGTACAGCAGTATTATTTATGGTACTGTATGTGGCATATGATATCACATACAGTCTCTCAACTTCTCAAGATAAAATTTATTTGTATCTCATCAGTAACAGAATTGGTAAATAAAACATATATATATCTCACCATGCTGCTCCTACGACAGAGAGTGAGATTGATAAACCCACACCAATGTCAGCCCACATGTAGGGCGGTATGGCTAGCAGGAACCTGGTAAGATAAACAACAAAAAAGGTCATAAAAGGCTGTATTACTTAATTAATTATAATAGTTGATAACATTGATAACATATACAAATGTATGGCTATTAATAAACTCTTACTCATAAGAAATAAAACTGAATGCAAAAAATGCTGGTAATAATAATTTGTTATGACCCATGCTCACAAGCAAGAAAAGCAGCAAACATTAATATTCTCTTGAAGACACACACACACACACACAATTTGTTCATGTGTGAATGGTAGAGGATTACAGATTTATCAGGGGGGAATATCAAGGCCTGAACAAAAGTTGACATGAATACAATTTCTTAGTGCACACTGTACAGTATGTATGGATGGGTTGATCTGAATGATCTAGTCGTAAGCTGTTTTTTTACCATTATTCACAGTGTATTCAGTATTTAAACTTGCTAAATAAAAAATACAGAAGTAACGTTTAAAGATGATACTGTACCAAGTACACAAGCAGGGAATCTCAAATGTACATGTGAGTAAAATATTTTTAGGTGATTCAAAGGTAATCTTGAGGTTTGGTAAACCTGCATTCTCAAGAAAAATTTACTTACAGGTTACAGCAAAATGTCAGACATGTACATGTACAGACAGTGTACATGTACATGGCTTGTTTGGACAAACAAAATGGAAAAAAAAACAAAAAATAGGTGGAAGTCATATTCACTGAAAACCATTCATGGGGCCCACGTCCTAGGCTCCTAGCGTTGAACAATGAACTGCAGACGGAACTATCTCATTTTCCTCACCTTTTTTGTTGTTGCTCATCACTAATCAGTAATGCATCATACATGTACATGTACATTTGCCATTGAATTTGTTTGGCTGATTTCTCGACTATCCAGTCAAGTTTATTTGGGTTCTGTAACTTTGTCTATCTTCAGAACTCAATATTATCTTATGTTACATGTATGGTGGTGTGACCAAAGTTCGCGCGTGACCAAAGTTCGCGTACTAACACTAAAGCCCATATAACAGGAGAACGATACGCGATGCCTGTGTGGGACTGAGACAACGAAATCTTTGAGCACCGTCGACAACTCCAAAGGTCAAAATGCGGCATAAAAATGTGAATAAGCTAGCTTTTTCACGCTTTTTATCATAACAAATTGTGTTTTTTTTACATGAAAATCAGTTTATTAGAGGGATCGACTCCGAAAAATAATGATAAAATTCCAATTTCTTACGCGAAAAACGGAACCTGCGCGCCTGCTTCCACCGTATCTGTGTTTGTGAATTTCAATGAATCTATGGGTTTCGTAAGAATACAAATTTAAAAGGGGAAAGAGGAGAGACAAAGAGCGAGAACTCGTGTATGGCTGACATATAAAATGGAGACACATGATAATTTTTTCAAACAAACAAATGACATGCAGATAGGGACTACATCGACATTAACACATAAACAGTGAAAAATATTGTCTTTTATTTGCAAAATTTAACAAGGGTATTTTTATCGGGCAATATTTCAATGATAGAGAGAAATTATTATATTTTTCAAAGTTTCAATATAAAGTTCGGCTTCTGATTGAAACTACGTAACTTTTTGGAATGTTTACATATATAAAGCCAATCACAAGAGGGCAGTAAATATCATGCGCAAACTTAGGTCACACTTTTTGACGGACGTCGGTAGTGGTAAGGCTTCCGATATTCTCGTCTTATCATTGATTTGAAGTAAATAAAGCCTTGGAATGTTATATAATCCGATTATATGATAAATTACGAATCTTATGACGTATGGAACATGATATATGTTGATCTGGATTTTTTGAAATATGCAAGAAAAGAAAAATATCCGCGAACTTTGGTCACCCCTTCATACATCAACATAGAGTATCTGCAAGACAGGGTTTGCATGTATGTACTTACCATCCGAAATCTAGTCTGTATAGTTGATCTGTCAGCAGATACCACAGGACTGCAAAGTTAATAAAACATGAAAAAATAAAATGTCACCTTAAGAATGAACATTATCAAAAGAATTTCTAAAGTACCGCGTCATTAAAGTCAAACCACTTCAACAATATTCATAATGCTCACATACATGTATCCGCCACAAGCCGAACATATTTGAAATTTCAGCCTAGGAAAAAAAGATCTAGTTTTTAGTTGTGTCAGGAAATGTTTGCAAGGTACAAAATCATTGAAGGCTATGATGTACTCTTCAACCCTGATGAATTATTATCATTTTCTCAGAAATGTTTGCTCTGTTACGATGTAAAATTACACAATAGTTAATAACCTGAGCACAATTTATGAAGCCGGTCTTTTTAAATGAAGAGAGGGGGAGCTGCAGGCACACATTTGAAGATAATTAAAGCCCAAACATTTCGAAACTGACCAGTGACTGTTCTTTATGAATTCAGATTAAATCTGAATGATTATAAGTCTGAGTTAAAGGGATCGTTTAACAATGTTAAATCTGAGATACACGGCCCTACGTGATATCAGTGTCTGTGATATGGTGTAATATTGAAGCCCTAAAAAAATTGCGCTTCAAAATGATCAAGAAGTGCCTCAAAAAAGTAAAAATCTTTGAGTGACCGGTTTTACCATACTCGTTTTCCCCAATAGACTGTAATGTTATGAAAACCGTCAGGCGAACGGTTTTCAAAATTTGTAATTCCAATCATAAATATCTTGATAATCAGACAGGTGATCGGCTTGTAAAAGTCACGGGGTTCCTGACTGACCTAAAGGTTTGTAATTATCATTGCATCATGAGCTAAATCCAGAATTTTGTTTCGGAATCTGAGACAAAGTTACCAGATCCCTTTAAATCTTGAACAGACTTGTTCTACATCAAAAGATTCTGCTCCTGTCTAAACATGAATCAAAGTGACATGGGATGTATGCAGTCAAGATGCTACCTCTTGCCCCTCTGCCTTCCTGGTTTGTTTATTATGAGAAGTATTAAGCTAGAGTACAAGAAGATAGACCTGGAAGCTTGATTGCTGCCTCAGCATTCTTCCAGTATTCGCGATAAAGGTAAAGAAAAGTCCACCTTGATATTAAATTGGTTTTAATAGAAGCACAAAATTAGAGAAACAGTTTAGATCTAGATCTAGTGCATGTTTGTGATTGAATAAAAGAAAAGAAAAAAGTTTGACCTCTACTTAAATCTAATGTTGACCCATGATGAATTTTCTAAAGTTTGTAGACCTAGTCCTGAATAGTCCTAGACTAATCGTAATTGATCTAATGCAAACTGGCAACTCCATGATATCCATTTTTGAAGACCTTCCATTTTAAAGAATTCATTGATTTACAAACACACTAAAAATAATCAATAAATAGTAGACCTATGCAGGAGTGAAAGAAAGATGACTTCAGTCATCATGATGTCACCATGATCATCGTTTGTGTTGATTCAATATTACAACAAAAAATCAAATAAAGATTAAGAAAGAAGACAATCTCAAGAGACAATGTGATTTGATGTGTCACTGTCAGCAGGAGGGACGCTGGTCTGAAAATGAGGATCGTCCGCATAAACGAGGATATGCTCGTAAATGCGGGCAATTTGCATCCTAAAAAATAAGGATTGTCCACAGTTTGGCAGACTTTTTTTTTTCATCAGCGCTCTGCCTCTGCGGGTGTCGGGTTCACTAACCGTGCGCTGGCCATGCGAAAAACAGATTCCGCGTAATAAAATACCCCCAGTTCACCGTCTATTTTTATGGCTTGTCCGTCTTCCCGAGGATTTATCCTTAATAACGTGAAAGAGTCTGTGCTGCATGCGCATGCTGCGTAAGTGAGAAATGCATCATGGTGGAGCATCATCACGGAATCTGTTTTTCGCATCGCCAATGGTAATGCGTAGATCGGTAAAGATCGCCTGCATTTTCACAGACGATCCTCAATTTTTAGTACGCAATTTTTCCCCGTTTACAAGGAATGGATAGATCTATCCTTCATTGTTTATGCGGACGATCCTTATTTATTCTCGGACCAAAAAAGGTTTAACAAATAACATTGCATAGACCTAGATCTAAATATTCTCAATTAATAAACACAGAGTCTATAACCAGATTATAAGCAACCAATAATTGCAGTTGCCAAAAAGGCCAAGCAACTGTCTATTATAAGTAGAGATCCTTGTCTATGTTTATGACATGATTATGAGAATGGCTTTGCAATGCACTGCACTGCATGCACTGCGAACACCGCAATGCACAGCCTGCGACTACACTGCACAGACTGCCGATGGGCCGGGCACGAACTACCAGCGTAACAGCGCTTGAAGCCTTGATTATATGCGACAGAAAATCTGGCAGAGTTCTTACCTATTCCAGTGGCTACGGCGCTCAGTATCCCTAAAATTGAGTACAATCTGTAGCTGTAACCCATGGCTGTTATATCTTATATACGATAGAGTAACACAAAATTTCGTCCAGTCTCCAGAACGCCCAAATATCAGTAAATCATGTTCCTTTTCAGGGCTTGACAGACACAAATACTCATTCCAAAAGAAACATATGACATGACCTCTTGCTTGCACATGACTTCCGGGCTGACCCCCATATGCAATATATAACCATAGAGATATATACTTAATAACACTAGAGGGCGTACTCGCTCAAATTGCTGTGTTGACCTGGAGCGGTGGCCGCCATTACTAAGGAGGGCAGAAAAACGAACGACCCAACAAGATACTGTGCACAACATACGTGGAAAAATTTGGAGAAGCCAGGTTCGTGCGATGCATTTGGATGTTCGAACCGAAGAAAGAAAGGGAACTGCCTAATAGTTCACAAGTAAGTTCTTCTTAATGTTATGTTGATTAATAAGGAGATTTTGGAGCTAAAAATGTAGTTTATGCAGTGACTGTACTGTAGTCTGTACCCGGCACGGGTTGTCTCATGACAAGCCACCGCAGCTCCTGCAGCAGCGGAGCGCGCCAGTCCACGCCCGCCTGGCTGGGGCAGGCATGGGTTAAGGTTCTGGGGACGGTGATGGGAAAATTCTGCTGCGCTGGAGTCGCTCGCAACTCCAAGAGCCAGAGAGTCCAACTCGGAAATATAACTCCATGAGTTTGATTCTATTAAATAAAAGGATATAATTAATTTTATCTTATCTAATTTCAAGATAAAAATCAAATGTCAACTTCTGACTTTATATTTTATTTTTAACTAGTCTAGATCTATATCTAGGCTAGACCGAAAGCTTCAGTCTCTATAATCGTCGGTTGTTCCACTGAGACTACGTCTGGCTCCACTAGACCTCCGGTTATAGAGACTGAACGACTGCCTATAGCTATGCCAGCCTGTGTTGAACTTATTCCGCTAGATTTTAGCCGCTAGGCCCCTCCCACAAACTTGCCACGGCCGTATTGTTATGCCCCCAAAATCCCCCAAAATGTCATTTTACCTCGTTCATTTCCAATTTTAAATTAGGCCTAGGCTATAATACATCGGTTCCACTTACAAAATCGATTGATATAATCCGTTTAATGGTCCCTTTTAAGGAAATTATCGGTCAAAATCGACATCCATGTTGAAAATCTTGCAAGCCGTGTTAAACTCTCGCTGCCGTCAATCTCATCCCTTCTAGTCTACGCCGAAGGCCAAATGATTATGAAGGAAAAACTGTGCGCCATCTACACGTTCGTAATGGCGTTATCACAGTTTTTCCTTCATAATCATTTTGCCTTCGGCGTAGACTAGAAGGGATGAGATTGACGGCAGCGAGAGTTTAACACGGCTTGCAAGATTTTCAACATGGATGTCGATTTTGACCGATAATTTCCTTAAAAGGGACCATTAAACGGATTATATCAATCAAGTTAGTAAGTGGAACCGATGTATTATAGCCTAGGCCTAATTTAAAATTGGAAATGAACGAGGTAAAATGACATTTTGGGGGATTTTGGGGGCATAACAATACGGCCGTGGCAAGTTTGTGGGAGGGGCCTAGCGGCTAAAATCTAGCGGAATAAGTTCAACACAGGCTGGCATAGGCAGTCGTTCTGTCTCTATAACCGGAGGTCTAGTGGAGCCAGACGTAGTCTCAGTGGAACAACCGACGATTATAGAGACTGAAGCTTTCGGTCTATATCTAGGCTAGACTCTAGACTCTAGATCTAAACTCTAGTCTCTAATTTCTAAAGCCTGAAAGGCAAAGCCAGGCTAGACAGAAATAACCGTCTGATATGGGTCATTTCTTTAATAAAACTGACATTTGTTGACATTCCCCATAATATAATCAGAGGTCTAGTGACAGCCAGACGCAGTCTCAGTAGAACAACCAACGATATAGAGAGACTGAAGCTTTTGGTCTAAGCCAGGCTAGCCTGCCATATTTCACATCACAGGAGTTATCCAACTACCTTAGGCTAGCCTAAAAATCCCACCGCACACTACACTATTTCTATCAAATAACATTATTTTATTTATTTGGCTGGAAGCTGCTTTCAAGTTTCAGTCTTAAAAATCACATGAAATAGCATGAATAGTAGAACAATTGTCATGTTATGAGAAAAAACTCAATATTGTTTCCATTTGCTTTTATTGTAATGCAGGAATACACCCAAGAGAGGAAAGGATGTTACACACCACATCTCCTTCCTAGAGCTGTGCCTACTGTCTTTCCTGGACGTCCTCCCTATAAACAGACCCATGGCTCCAGACTCCCAGCAAAACCATGTACAACATCCGAAAGTGTTCCTGTGCCTCCAAAGAAACCCTATGACTCCAAAGAAACCCTATGACATTACAAAAGAACATGACTATTCTTTTTCTGTCTGAGTTGATTAGAAACTGAATATAACCAGACAGCAAGTGCAGGATGCCAAGAAAAAAAAAAGTGGTGAAACAAGGTAAACAGGAAAGGTGGAAAAACCAGGACTCTCTTGCAGGAAGTCCACGAAAGCAAGCTCATTAGCCAGGATCAGCTTGACCTACTTCAACACAACTTTGGAGAGAACGCATTTTCAGGAAAAAAAA